AAGAAGGTCGGCAGAGGCAAGTCGCCCGGTCTGGATGGTCTGCCCTATGAAGTGTACTTGAGGCTGTCGCACATCTTTGTCCCGATTTTGACGGTCGTGTTCAACAACTGGTTCCGGCAGGGGTCCCTCCCCGACCGGTTCTCCAGGGGTGTGATCACGCTGTTGAAAAAGGACAGGGGTGTCGGGGGGAAACTATACGACTACAGGCCCATAACTCTGCTAAACACAGAGTTAAAGATTATGGCCAAGATCCTGCAGGAGCGCTTGCAGTCAGTTGCCGAGTCTCTGTTGGGTCCCGAGCAGACCTGTGCTGTGTGGGGTCGAACAATTCAGAGCAACCTGCATTTGATCCGTACGATCATAGAGGGTGTAAAAGACGAGAGAGCCGCGCTGATCAATTTGGATCAGTCCAAGGCATTTGATAGGGTTGACCATCGCTACCTTGCTGCTGTCCTGCAGGCCGCCGGATTCGCACCCGACTTCTGCCGCTGGATTAGCCTCCTGTATCGCTCCCCCAGTGCTGTGGTACAGATGAACGGGAAGCTGTCTAGGTCGGTTCGTCAGGGTTGCCCGCTGTCGCCCCTACTTTACGCTTTGGCGTTGGAGCCTCTCCTTCGCCGGCTGAGGGACAGGGCGTGCAGGCCGGCCCTACGCGGAATCGCCGTTCCTGGCGGGGCTCGAGCCAGGGTTTCCGCGTACGCCGATGACGTAACTGCTTTCGTGTCGTCCCGTAGAGGCATTGAGGCAGTACAGAAGGCGCTTGATCGGTACGAAAAGGTGACAGGGGCCAAGATTAACCGCGACAAGTCGTCCGGCTTGGGGCTAGGCGTCTGGAAGGGGGTCGATCTTCCGGGGCCCTTCAGTTGGACGGACGGTCCTGTCCGCATTCTCGGAGTGTGGTTTGGACCCGTCCTCCAGCTGGAGAAGAATTGGTCTGAAGTACGAGCAAAGGTCGACGCCGCCGGTCAAACTTGGCGTCGACGGAGGTTGTCCGTGAAGGGCAGGGCGGAGGTGTGTGCTACATACATTTTCCCTCTTGTCCTTTATCGATTGTTCGTACTTCCTCTCTGTGACGACCACAGGAAACCGCTCGAGCGCTCGCTGACCTCCATTCTATGGAGGATACGCGGGAATCGGGTCGTCAGAGAAGTCTGTGCACAACGTCCGTGTCATGGGGAGCTGGGAATGCCACACTTGCTAAGCCACAAACGTGCCTCGAGGTTGGCTTTCCTACGCCGCGCATTGACAGGAGATTCGGTCATGACGGGGGTTGTTAGGGACGCCTTCCCTACCCTTACTATCAATCCCCCCATCTCGTGGGCCGAGCGCCATTGTAGGCCCCGGGGAGAATCTGATTTCATTCGCGAGTGTCGGTTGGCCTTGCTGGCCGTCCCTCGGTCCAGTGACCTTTCTCGGCCTAGGAAGGACTTCTATCGTTTGCTAGTGGAGGGGGTCTCGAAGGATCCCCTACGCGATGATCTCGACATGTCGGAGGATGAGTTTCGCTCTCACTGGTCTTGGGCGCCAGGGGCGGATTACATCAGTAACCCGGAGTTTTCGCTTACCTGGCGACTGGCTCGGAATCGGCTGCCTCTCAATGACAGGGCCTTCATATGGGGCTTGGCGGATTTGCCAGACTGCGATCGGTGTGGCCTTGGTCTAGAGGAAACGGCTTCGCACGCCTTCTTCCATTGCCCCCGGGTCCGCCCCTTATGGGACCATGTCAGCGAGCTGACGGCTCGTCTCGCTCCCGAAAAGCTTGTGCCCATGGATCGCGCATACGCGTGTGACAATGTGTCGCCCCCGTATTCCGGGGTGAAACGGATGGTGTTTCTCACGCTGCTAGCCACGGCCCGAACGGTGATATGGACGACGCGAGAGGAGGAGGTCTTGCGGGGTATCCGTCTTTCTCATCGGGATCTGATCCGATTCTTTGAGCATCAGCTCAAGATGAAGATCAGAACTGATAGAAAACGCTTGCATTCGACAGTCTTCAGCGAAAGGTGGGTGACTGAGGCGAGCTTGGTTCGTGTGAACGGGGCTAGCCTTGATTTTCTGTTTTAGGTCAAGCCTACGTTACATCGGGGTGGCTTCCTGTGGTGCCCTCCCCTTGGTTAGGTTAGACAAGCTTTGGTGTACCTAGTTAATGCGAGTAAGTGTTGTTCCCGGCCTGCCCCCCGGCCACATCTTTGATATGATCCAGCCTGAGATTCCCAACCTCCCCAGTTTGTTTTTTGGTCCCCCCACTTTCTATCTCGACTGGGTCAGCTTTATACTTCCCCATGCCCGTATGATTTTTTATCACCTTTCCCACTCCCTTAGCGAGAGAGCTGCTTGATTTTGTTCCAATGGGCAGAATACAGTGGTCTCCCTGCCTTTTGAGGGTTGGACGGCCCTACTAACATCAGTTAACGTTTAATTTCATTTATGTTAATATTTTAGTTCGTTATTGAGTTCATCTCTCCCCCCCCCTTCATCTTTTCATTTTAGAATTTTGTACATATGTGTTAGGATCATTAAATTATGACACGGGGCGCGTTTTGTAGGTCTCCCTAGAGTGGATGTGGTATTATGGTGCATGGACGAGTTCTTATGGTGAATGAGTAAATTGTAATGTCTGAATGGGTCGTGAATCAAATTAGCTAGGTATAAGATAGTTAGTGAAGACCAGCCTTTTACCCCCTCCCCCTTTTCGGCCTTGTGCCATAATTTTGTATTTTACAAAATAAATCGTCGGCGACGAAGGTGGTCGGCTACTGAAACGGTCGGATACGCAGCCCCCACTTGGCCTTCGCTGGCCAGGGACGTCGATCAACGGGCTGTGTATTGAGTTACGCTCCCATTTTTTTTGTCTGCCAACTTGACGATAGTTGGGAACTTTCCTTTCTCTCTCTACTTCGCCTACTACTCCTGGCTCCTGTTTGACTCTCGGCATTCCGTCCCTACTGGCTGCCTGCACGTCGTCCTTAACCTTTCTCGTACACTATGTTAGTAATTAATACGGGAGGTTACTAATATCGGACTCGACCGGTAAACACACAACGCCTGCACCGGACCTGTGACATGCCCGACCAACGCCAGCTCTTCTTTCCTTCCCAACTCGTCAAGTTGGCATCCCGGCAACAATCAACTTCGACAATCAACAGCAATGATCCTGCCAGCAACCAACAACAACAACAATCAACTTCAACAACCAACAGCGATGATCCTGGCAACTACCAACACCAACCTCGACCATCAATGCCTGCACCAGAACTTCTGCGCCTCTACCGTTTCCTTTTCTTTTCTAGAATAAATCAGCATATATCATACATATCCTCGTTCTGTCGTCTATTATTGTTTCACAGTCAGATTTAACGTCTTCAAAAATGTTAGCGGGCCTCTTGTGACCTCATTCACCCTTGTGTGATACTGGGGCCTCAGGGGTGCCGCTACAGGTTTAAATGGCAAACGTAAACTCACAAGTTAAAAAAGGTACATAGAGGGCGTTAGTTTTAACCTGGGAGGAGAGAGAGAGGGGAAGCGGGAGTGGAGAGAGAGGAAGCGGGAGTGGGGAGAGAGAGAGGGGAAGCGAGGGGAAAATCATAGTGGTGAAGGATTTCTTTTTCATTATATCTTTGGTGGATTTAATAATTATTCCCACTCAGTCATTAATTTATTAGAACTGCTGAATTCTTAATTGATGTAGAGAAATTTATTTACTGAAAAAAGTTCGAACAAAGTAGCAACAAATAATTTTTTTTTCTTACATTCACTCTAATAGCGAGTGTGCTTCTTGATTCTATTTCTATCCAAAGGCAAAATACAGCAGCCACTCTTTTTATTTTTGCGGGATAGTTGGGTCCTTGTGGGAAATTCGTCCCGGTTTTTTCACCTGAAACATGTATGAATTTCTGAGTATTATAATAAATCTAATGTCTTTAGTAACTATTTTTTTTTTTTACCAGTGCTCATCTTGCAATTTTTGCTGTTATCATTGCATGTTTTTATCAGAGTTCATTGCAATTTTTGTTGTTATTAATGCTTTTCTTCTCTGTCAATCTTTATTACTGGTTCCCATATTGTATTCATCTCTATGCTTGGTCGGCTCGGGAGATTTTTGTGGCTTAGCATATGTGCCAATTCCTTAAGTTTACGAATTTTCTAATGGTGTTCTTTGTCTATGATCTCAACCTGATCCCACAGAGGGCGGCAATCTCCCTTTGGTACTTAATGAAAACTTTTATTACTGTCCATCTATTCCTATGGCTGGTCTTTATTTTTCGTGTTAGGGAGAATAACGTGTTTTTCGCCTTCCAGTAGCACACTGATATTAATATTAGTATGGCCACTGGATACACTGACACTGAATGCGAATATAGAATGACGAAATAAAACATTTAATAAGGAATGGAAACAACTTACATATCATACTTATTATAAAACCCAGGTTGTGTGTGTGTCCGTTTATATATTGGATCGGATTTCCTACATTTTTCAACTGATTTCAACAAAACTTCACAGGACTACGTAAAATTACCTTGCAGTGGTTCTGACAGTGCCAAAAATTGGAAAAACACAATTGTTTTTGCACGAAATCAATTTGAAAACATGATTAAGGGATCGCTGTCGAGAATGAACGGGGGACAACTCATATCGAGTTATACTTATTATTATAAAACCCAGGTTGTTTGTGAATGTGTGTCTGTGTTTATATATGAGATCGGACATCCTACATTTTTCAACTGATTTCAACAAAACTTCACTAGCTAAATAAGGGTTCTTGCAAAAATTCGGCCCTTTTTGCTGAGAATAAGATAACTTATTCTCTGAGTAACACAATGTAAAACAACATCGCAGAAAACAAATTTGAAAATTAGAATGCACAAAAAACCAAAAAAAGAATTGTGCCTCCCTGCTGTGTCAATGATAACAATTAAAAAATAAAGGTGGGGAAGAGTCTTCGCTCTTCAGTACACTTTCAGTCCTTTCAAGGTTCAAAAGTTTTTATCTTTTTTCTCATGTGTAGACAAGGGTCTCTTCTTGGTGACCAAACTCCCTTCTTTCTTCTCTTATTTTCCTACCGTCTGCCTGGATATTACGCCTTTCTTTTACGGCTGCTGGAAGGTGAAAATTTACTTAAACACGCGATGAAACACTTTTTGAGAACACACGTGTTTCCTTCTTCTTCTCAAACAGCTTTAGCTCCAAACTTCACTTATGGACTTCTTTTCAAACTTTCTTTTCTGGGGCTTCTTCGACAGAACTTCTCAAAACTTTCTCAGAAGGGGAAACTTGCTCTCAGTAACTTTGTTACCCATGCATCCTTACTTATGGGCAAACGCTGCCTGCCTTTTCAGCAGGGAGAGAGAAAACTAACCTCTTCTTTCCAAGCTGTCTTGGTTCGAACTGCTGCTATGGTTCAGTCACAGTTCTCCTTTCCCTTTCAAAGGGGGGGGGGGCGGTTCACCTTTGAACTGTCCAATCACAAAAAAAATATCAGCAGGTTCTTAGGGCCAGTAACACAGTGAGTGTCTTTTGTTCTGCCTTGACCTAAAAATTTTCCAAATCTACAATGCCTAGAAGCTAGAGCTGCCAAGTGCCGTGTTTGTTTAATTAGGCCTAGAAAAAGTAGAGTTCTAATAAGCTTATGTAAGTCAGGTTTATAAAAAAGAAATTGGCCTTTTGAGATCTGTAATTGAAATGGCAGTTGATTTTGTAGTTTTGTAGAAGTTTAAACGTGCCTTTCCTATAATAGTCACTTAAGGCCAGATCTAAATCTAGTAGGAAAATAGCCTCGATCTAATTAATATGCCTACGGAAAATGACTTACTAATATGTTTAGATTAACTAGATCTAGTTCAAAAGTGAAAAAAAAATTAACATTTTCCTGGATTCTAATTTTTAAATAATAATACTTATGTATAAATCTATAAATAATGTAAATGTTTCTTACAACTTGTGGCACAATAAAATTCTAAAAATTATTTTTCTCCATTTCATGGTTCAGACTTAAAATGAAGAGACAAAAAAGTTTATTGGGGTTTGTGCAAAAAGCAAAAAATCCCTAGAATTGAAACTTCAAGGCACGAGTCGAGTGAGGCTGAAATGGAACTAAATCGAACAGAAAAAATGTCTGGTTCTGCTTCTGGTTTTAATGTTGTATTAAATGGAGAAAATGCTGATGCAACTATTGTGACTGTCCAGCATGGAAACAAATACAAATACTGACACAGTGCAAAGTGGATATAAGGCAGATGCAACAAGATACTGACATTGGGCAAGGTCGATATAAGGCAAATGCAACAAGATACTGACACTGTGCAAGGTCGATATAAACTAAGGTTTCAGATGCAAATAAAACAAGATACTGACACTGTGCAAGGTCGATATAAGGCAGATGCAACAAGATACTGACACTGTGCAAGGTCGATATAAGGCAGATGCAACAAGATACTGACACTGTGCAAGGTCGATATAAGGCAGATGCAACAAGATACTGACACTGTGCAAGGTCGATATAAGGCAGATGCAACAAGATACTGACACCGTGCAAGGTCGATATAAGGCAAATGCAACAAGATACTGACATTGTGCAAGGTCGATATAAGGCAAATGCAACAAGATTACATCCCAGACTGCTGGAGTAATGAACAATATGAAAATTTCCAGAAAAAATATGATAGCATAATAGTTCATAATAAAAAACTAGGATGTAGTTACTGCACAAAATTTGATTCTATAAATGTGAAGGGATGTCATGTCTCATTAGAATGGACAATGTGCAATATTGTTGCATCAGGAAGAGATAAAGCAATCCAACAAACATCTCTCCGGAAAAAAAATGAATGAGCACTTTTTATTAAAAGCCTACAGTATCTGCTTAAAACAACTTCAAGATCATGCAGTTGATACAATTACAAAATGCATTGAATCAGAAGCATATTGCATCTATGTGCAGAATTTTCAATACAGTCTATAGTTTTGGCAAAGTGAAGCTGGCCATTTTCTGATATTGAAGATGAGATTGGGCTACAAATAAAAAATGAGTTGGACATTGGCGATGGACTTCATTCTTGTAAAACTGTTGTGAAAATATTTGATCATATTGCAAAGGAAATTAAAAGTGAAATATTTACAAAAATTCTTGCACAAAATAAAAAAGACTGTGTTATAATAGATGAAGCCTCAATGATATGTACTAAGTCAGTGCTTATAATTTTTGTGAAAATTGAAGATTATGATTTATCACCAACAATATTCTTGGATTTGGTGCAATTAGAGGGTCAAGGATCAGAACAATTTTATATTACTATGTTGGAAAGTTTGCACTCTGTTGAATTTGATAATGAATCCTTGAGAAATAATTTGATTGGTTTTTGTTCTGATGGTGCGAGTGTAATGCTAGGTCGCAATTCTGGAGTAAGGCATTCGAGTTAAAAAAGATTTCCCTAACATAGTAATCTGGGATTGTTTAAATCATCATTTGCAACTTGTTTTGGTTGATTCTGTCAATGATATAAAACAAGTGAATCATTTTAAAATATTCATGGATAAAATCTACACAATATTTCACCAGTCAAACAAAAATCAAATGGAACTCTTCAAAATATTTGAAGAACTTGGGCAACAAATTCTGAAGATGAGTAGGGTTTTGGGACCAAGAAAGGCTTCTTGCAGTTTAAGATCTGCTGTGTGGCATGCTTATATGCATTATACACATATTTCTCCACTAACACAGAACATTCAGGGTTGACAGCCTGTCTGTACAACAAAAATTTCTTGAAGAACATGGCTTTAATGATTGAGATTTTACATGAAATGTCATTGCTCAGTAAATCCCTCCAAGCAAGAAGCACAACATTGTTTAGAGCAGAAAAGCTCATTCAAAAAGTTCTTTAAGGCATTTGAATTGCTGAAGGACAATATAGGGACATATATGAAAAGGAAATTGATGACTGAGTTGATTCTGATGCCTTCAAGGAGATCAAGTTCATTGAAAACCACGGGTTTGTTAGGCTTAATCAACAAAAACTATTGGTATCTGTCTATATTTCTGAGATGAGGTATTATGTACACTATTTACATTATTCGGACTATTGTCTTCATTTTTGTCGCCATATTTATTACAATGTCTTTTATATCTGTCTATATTTCCGAGATGAGGTATTATGTAGACTATTTACATTATTTGGACTATTGTCTTCATTTTTGTCGCCATATTTATTACAATGTTTCGGTCTTTTAGTATCTGTCTATATTTCCGAGATGAGGATTTATGTAGACTATTTACATTATTCGGACTATTGTCTTCATCTTTGTCACCATATTTATTACAATGTTTCGGCCTTTTAGTATCTGTCTATATTTCCGAGATGAGGATTTATGAAGACTATTTACATTATTTGGACTATTGTTCTCACCTTTGTCACCATATTTATTACATTTCAGCCATTGTACGTTCTGGCCTTGTTCAGGTGGTTGGAATGTCGAACTGAACCCTTTATTTCACTCACTGCGGTACTGTTCTAGTTCCACGTGCCATGTTTAATGGAAGTCAGTTGTCAGTTATCTCCTGTTGATTCCCCTCTCCAAGTTCTCCACTGCCTTAACCGAGTATTGAACTCACACTCTTTGGGTCCTGTGACTGGATCTAACTAATGCCTTTATCCACTGTGCCATGTGTCCTTGAATTGGATGCAATAGTTGAAAAATGAAGAAAAGATGAATTGCTGATTAGTAAGTATATATTTGTCTGAAAAATTTTCAATGAATAAAGAATTTTTTACAAGAATTGTTTGCGTCATTTTTTCTAGTTTTTCATTTTATTTTTAACCTTATATTGAATTTTTTTTTTTTTTTTACAATACTGCAATTTGTTTGAAATATCTTTATTTTTGCGAATTATATCATGAAAGAATGAAGCTGCTCTTGATTTAGTCCTAACACTTATTTTTGTTCGTCTTATCTTCTATCTACATATACTTCCCCTTTCAGGAGCAATGAAGTTATTCTGGGGACTGTTAGTGGTAAGTTTGTTTTCTTTTTCTTTTTTTTAAATCTTTATAGAAAACTCACAGCAGATTATAAGACGGGAATTCTTTCTTTCATTCTCTTTAAGATGTTAAAAAAACCAATATAAATTAAATTTTTAAATTTCTTTTAAAACCTACAATTCAAACTCAAGCAGATCTCAAAGATTAACTTGTATAAAATTCATAATGAAATAGAATTCATGTTAACTAATGATAAAAAAATTGGTTGTTACTTATGGCAATAATTTAAGCAAAGGGAAAATAAAATCTTTTTATCGTTAATTTTTTTTTTTTTTCTTCAGCTGGGTTGCTTGCCCTTTGGAATTGGTAAGTTTCAAATACCTTTTCATTAATTCTCTACATATTTCTTGAACTTAGGATGGAGAATGGGAGTTGAAAGTATTTATCTCTAAACCTATAAATAGTTGTTCATACATAGATTATTATTTTTATTACCTGGCAAATTTAAACATTTATTAAACAACTTTTATACAAAATTGAATAAATGACCAAAACCCATATTATAAAATTTTGAAGTTTTTGATTAAATTACAATATTACTTGGAAATTACTAAAACATGGATTATTTTTTTCATTCTTTATTTTGTAAAATGAACAGATTTTACAAGAAAAAAAAAGATTTAATCTCTTCTATAGTTTTGTACTTTTCTCTTTGTATGAGTAGGGTGCTGAAAGTTCTCAGCTCAGTCCATTTTCCCAACATCTGACCAAATGGACATGAGAACTTATTTTTTATGATTTTGACCAAAAATTTTCAGTACCACCTTGTAATTGCCATACAGGGAAACCTATTACAATTAATTGTGTGTGACTTTAACAGAATTAACCATTATGTAATGTTTTTTCTTTCCTCTGGAAAACTAAAGAAAAATTTGTAAAGTGGGTACTGTATACTATGTCATTGAAAATCAAACTACTCTCTGTCAAGTATCCAACACCAAATTGATATCGTTCACTGTTGGCCAAAAAAAATGAGGCTTTCTCAAGTGTTAAAAAAAAAGTATCTTACCAAATTGAATGCATTTCCTTCGCCTACCTCAAATGTGTTATTTACTGCCATCTGGTGTCAGTCCCAACTATTGCATCTGAGCAGCTCTACATCTGACATCAATGAAAATTATCTATATTTAACTGGTAATCATTAGACACTTATTCAAGTGTGACAAAACTGCCAATGAAAGTTAACGTAAATCTTCGTACCTGGATCATATACATTTATCATTAAACTTCCATATAAGAACATCAATCAGATGAACTGTCTTCTGAAAATATTGCAGAAATTCTGTATATTTGTGGGAGGGCAACAATTAAGTTAAATACTTTTCAAGGTCAGCACATGAAGTAAATTTCAACCCCCTGTGATTTACCAGCAGTTGTCAAGCAACAAGTGATAAATAATTTTTTTTCACTTCCAGTTTTGGCTAAAACACTTTATTCCTGCCCAAAATGTATCATGTAAGTATCATATTTTCTTAATAGATGTCATTATTTCTTACAATTTCAGCGCTTTTATCATCAATTTTATAGATGCTTAGACAGCAAATTGTCTTTCATTTTGTATGTTGACTATTCAAAATGTCTTTTGCGGGAATGCACAATTTATCAGCAGTTATCAAGCAACAAGAGATTAATTTTTTTTTTTTTTTTTTTCCCCTTTCAGTTTCAGAGAATATATATTCCTGCCCAAAATGTATCAAGTAAGTATCATATTTTCTTAATAGATGTGATTATTTCTTACAAATTCAGCACTTTTATCATTAATGATAAATGCTTAGATGACATTGTTACATGTCTTTCATTTTGTGTGTTATGCATTCAAAATGTCTTTTGCTGGAATGCACAATCTAGTCTTAATGTTGCAGACCTTGGCTAATCTCTTGAGAAATATCTTTATTGAAAAGTAGTTCCAAATTCACACGAAGTACAGTTTACTTTTAAGTTATCCCAACACAAGGAAATCATGTGATGTGAAATTTGATTGAATACTGTTCCCATGTCAAATTCATCTACCGAGAGAGGTTGTTAGATGAGATTGAAGTTGGAGTGTTATGAAGAATCTTTTTGTCTTTATACTTTTGTGAAGTTCTTTGTACTGGGTATGACGATAAACAACATTTGGCAGCAAGGCCACTAATTGTGAGGTTTTGAGTTTTGTGGAACCATCTCTTAATTGCTATTGGTTGCAGAAATTCTGACAGCCTGGTGCAGGGTCTTGTTGCTAGACATACGGTCTTACCAGCAGTCACACTTGATTTAGGCCTCCTTATCTCATCTGAGGCTCTATGGGAAGATGGAGGCATAACGTTGCCATCACTAGTGATCACTCTAAACACCATGGTGTTAACTGGATATGTCATCCAACTCTCCCTCTTTTTTTTTTTTTTTTTTTTTTTTTTATCCTCTGAAATGCTTGTATTGGAGCTTCTGGTGCGAATGCCAACCAGTACAACTCATCTGAGGGAGGGCATAATGAGACAAACTGACCTACAGTGCTATAATGGTAATCATTTGTTTACAAATAACAATTACTTTCAAACAAATCATGACATTTTTATTAACATTGCTGCACAAAAGGCATCAGTCACTATATATTTTATGTAAATTATTTTATCACTTTTTCCCTCTAAATATGTAATTAAATAACTATTGAGTGAATTTAGTATTAACTTGTAATTACACCTAGAATATTATCATCATATATAAATAGATTTTAGTTTTGTATCAAAGATTCAGCACAAATTTGGTCAATAAATGTAGAATGAAATTTAAATAATTCCCTTTGTGTTACTTTTGTGCATTTAAAAGAATTTTGTTCCCTGGACATCATAAAATGGAAAATTCCCTTGAGGAAAGATTAGAATGAAAATGAAGACGGTGATTACACCTATCTCCGGGTCAGATAGAGGCATGGCATTGGGGAGGGTTGTAGCTAGAGATATTCTCAGGAATGCGATGAAGCAATAAGAGCACAAGCCAGGAGATGCTAGGCTCAGAGGTGAAAATTAATGAGACAGGAAGGGAGGGTAAATAGAGGACAACAATGAAACGAGGGATGAAGCTAATGCCAGGTCATCTGCTATGAGAAAATGTGTAGCTGAAAGGATTCAAAATTAAAAACAAAATTTAATACAAGAGAAAATATGAGAATGCAAATAAAAGAACGTCTTTGACAAACTGAAGAGCAACGCAACAGATATAAGAATATTGGCGCCATGAGAAGTGCAAGAAATGCCCAAAATGGTTCATGGAGTAAATAATGTTCTGTTCACTGAAGCCAATTATCAAAACAACTATGGATAAATAAATAAAAAAAAAAAAAAAAAAAGCCTTTATTTTTGATGGCATTGGTAGTAAAAAAAAAAAAAAAATGTAAAAGAATGCTCTATTAATCCAATAAGTACTGGGTAACTTTCATTTGATTAGTAATGCAGTGATTTTGGTCCTCACTGAGTGTACCACTGTTAATATGGCACTTTGAGGAATCCATATTGAATCTGTTAATGAAATTGGTTACTAACAAGTCCCACTAAATTGGGAATCATCTTTCTCAAATTTATAAATGAGAAATTCAATGCTATATCTTTGAGATTTTATGCTAATCTGTAACAGATCCAATTGAAAGATTGTGTTGCACCAATTTCTCTCAAGTCGCTGTCTATCCAGTGATTCATCTGCATGTTCACATTGAGGTGTTATGAACTCTTACAAGACTGGCTTGTTATTTCATAGAACAGCATGGATCCTTAATCAGTCCTTTCCTTGAGAAAGGATACCTAAAAATATTCAATCTTGACTTGATAAAGTGTCTGACAGGAACAAAGTAATAATTCTTAGAATCTGACTTAAGGTGAGGGCAGCCTTTTCGATCTGAAAAAAAAAAAAAAATCAAAATAGTTACATAATGAATAACTAATGACAAATTTTGAATGTTTTTTTTTTTTTTTTTTTTATATAACAGGCATTTCTTTTTATTTGCTGTAGCTTCATAAATACATCTTCTCTGGGCCAAACATTCTTTTAATCAATCTATTTATTTTTTTTTTTTTTTTACAAAAGAGTTTCAGGTCTTTGATTCGACTACTGGTTAGCTATCAGATATATATAGATTTTCCAAGCGTGGCTTAGATGTGGCACAAGGCCGAAAGTAGTGGGGCACCCAGTGAGGATCGAACTCACTACTCGGTCGTAATTGTTCTTGCGAGACAAGCTTCCTAACCATTACACCGCCTCAAGGTGCCCAAGGTATCAGATATATATGATGAAAACGGATACCTTAGAAATCCATTGGTAATAATTTATTTCATGGGATTAAACACCCTTCTCTTCAGACCAAACAATTTAAGAACAATGAATAGATTTTTAATTTTATACAGAAAAAGGGGTGGAGTAGGAGGTAAAGAAAAACGTCTTCTAAAAATAAGAGAGGAAGATATTGAACTTAAAATAAGGTTTTATTATGAGGGAAGGGGAGAGATAATAGACATGGGGTTGAGGAGTAAGATAGAGAAAGAAGTTGTTAAATAGCTGTTGAATGTTCTTTCACTGGATGTGACAAGTAAAACAGTGAAAATATTCAAAAAGGAACGTAGGATAAAGAAAAATAGGTAGGAGATAGAGAAAAAAGTTATGAAAATTAAAGTTTCTGATATGACAAGAGTGAAAATAGACAAAGGAACATAAAATGTTTATTCAATTCATGTAGTGAAATAATTTCATCAATCATACCCATTATAATTTAAAAAAAAAAAAGTTTGATTTTGAAAATAATGGTAGTATAAATAAAATATTTTAAAAATTTTATATATTAAATAATTAAGTTATGAGTAAAGGACCATTTTAAGTGAATATAAATTACTTAGAACCCTTTCACTTGCATCTGGATAAATTTAAAATCCATTTATTGTTGTAAAATTGTTTAGTCTTAAGAGGTGGGTATTTGATCCCATGAAATAAATCATCACTTATTATTTACTATATAAAATATTAAAACTGATTCACAAAAGAGAGCTCAATGTACTTATTACAGAGCATATAAATTACATGTAAAACTCAATACCCCCATGATATATGGCCATTTTGCCCAGAATGTGCTTGTCATCACGAAGGAGTTAGATAAATAAAAATTAAAAAAAATTTTTTTTTTAAAGGAGGGAAATTTACAGCTAAGGGAAAATGCATTTAAAAGGAGGGGGGAGAGAAAGATAGAGAAAAAGAAAGTTAAGAAGGGGATAGAATTATTAATGAAGGGGGGGAAAAAATCAAGATAATTTTTTTTTTCAAATTTGTCTAGACATAGGCTGACCTAGACTTATTTTGAACAAGAGTTAACAAGTTAAATATAAGAAATTACGTAGAGAAATAAAAGTAAAAACTTTTTTTTTTTTTTTTTTTTTTTTTTTTTTTTTTTTTTTTTTTTTTTTTTAATTAAGAATTTAAATATTTAATGTTTTAAAACAAATCTTATAATAAACCCTAAATAAAAAAGGTTTAACTAAAGACTGTAGAGCACAGAATGAATTAAAGGATGAAATTTGGTCATTAAGAAAAAAAAATATTTAACTGAAATATAGATTAAATGTAAACAGTGGGAGATCAAAAACAAAATTGTAAAAGACATTTGACAAATCACAGCTAGCAATAATATAAGAGTATTACAAAGACTTTATACAAAGTATTATCAACTAAAAAAAAAAAAACAAAACAAAAAACAGATAAGGTAATTTGAAAGGAGTGAAAAGGAAAGGATTAAACAATATGTGGTGAAAGATAATGGATTGTCCAAAGTTGAAAATGTATTATATTAGTTTGAATTTGCTTCTGACGATTTTTAGAAACTGATTCATGACTTTGATTCAGTAAGATATTTTGTTTGTCAAATTTAAAAATTTCAATTTCTAATTTTAAAGTTACTAGGAGTTTGAGAAAAAAACCCTATGAATTCCCAATCAATTTGAGGATTCAGGTTTTTTCTTTCAGTTCCCAAAATCTTTTGCAGAGAGCAGTTTAGTGATTCAGTCTTGGGTTGGGAAACGTGTGTATGGTTATAAAGTCTGTTTCCATTCCCCTGCAGAAATACCAATATAAACATGGTGATTTAATCTATTTTCTTTGGGGGCAAATGGTAGCTTGATAAATGACGGATGTTCTACATTTTCCCTCATCTGGTCAAAGATTGCTATTTTTACAATTATGGGGCTGGGTGGGGGTCCATACTAAAATTTTTGTTGACACTATTGAATTTGTTTAGAATATATTTGTGGGGATCAATTATTTTAAACATGTTCTTTGTACATGAATAACTTATTTTAATAGTTTTGCTATTAAACACCTTAAATTGTTGTTCTGGAAGTGTTATAAGTTTCCAGAAAACTTGTCCAATATTGATTTTGAATAACATGCAAAGGTGGGGTTTGAGCCATATAATCCTTTTTCGATTTTTGTGCATCCTGCTCTTACCTTCACCATTGTTATTTATTGGGTTTAAGTAAGCAAGTTTATTAACAAAACCACTTTTTTGGAGATCATTTTTGTATAATTCTTTTATTACAGATACTTTTTATTAGATGATAATTTAATTCTAGAATTAACAGTAATTGCTATCTACTTCAAGATACTTGAGATATATATATATATTCAAGTTAAACTTTTGCCTCTGTGCATATCTGTATTTTACTTTTTGTTATTGAATGATGAAAGCTAATTTATTTTTTTTTTTTTTTTTTTTTTTTTTTTTTTTTAACCAAGATGATCAAGAAATAAAATGGACGAAACCCAAAAACTTCAGCGGCAGTTTTGATATGATGTTGAACATCTTTACAAGCAATCCAGTTCAGGAAGGTGAAGTTTGCCTTTCTATTGGGAAAGGTGATACCTTCAATGCATACAATATTCCTTTCAAAAACGATGGTTTTCCAGCGTTCTCAATGCATCGGGAAATTGTGATTCATCCTGGAGATGAAGTAAATCTCTCTTTCTCTTCCAAAGATGCCATCTTGGAAATAAAAGAACCACCACATAGTCACATCCACTTGACTAAAATTAGTCCATCCATTGCCCAAACAGAGATCCCAGAAATTAGTCAATCCATTGCCCAAACAGAGATCCCAGACACTACTGTCAGACAAAGTAGTGAAGATGTATCAGGAGCAGAAGACAATGGTAGCTCTATGAAAAAAAACACTATGAACATTCTTATCTTTGTGATTTGTGTAATGTTCTGCATGCTGTTCTTGTAACAAAACACATGACCATGTGTATATTTCAAGATTAAAATTTTATTCACAAATCTTAAATTACTCCAACTTAACTTGTATTTTCTCTACTATATAAATAAAAATTGCATTGAAGAATTAAGTGTTGAGGATTTGTTACTTTGAACACACAACTGATTGCACTCTACAGAGATGGACTTCACTCTAAAAGCAGAAGAAAGAAGTCATTTAACAACTCACTTTTGAAGTACTGACAGAAACTTCTGGTGTTAACTCAACCATTACTGTTTGATAACTTAGCGAGTAGATTGACTTTTACATTGCAAAATGAGAAGACTTGGGAAAGTGTCAAAAATTGGAAAGTGTGTAGAGACGTCAATGCAGTGGTGGAAGGCTCACTTGACAGCCAAGAGCTGGATTGCATATAAGGAAAATCATTTTGAATTTTTATGGTATGATATGCAGAGAATCATTTCATTTAGTTGTTAAACGATAACCAATCACATCTGAAGTTTATAAGCAATACTTAAAGTGCTTTGGGCTAAAACAAAGTCCACGAAAAATGAAAAAACAGGGAGAAAAAAAAATTCTCCAGACATTGCTGTTTCTGATTACCATCTGTTTAGAAATTTGGATAGACTTAGAGTAACTCCAAAAGAGAAGAGTTTCAAAATGAGTTAACCTCTTATTTCAGATGAAAAACTGAATAATTTTATTTTTACACATGGAGGATTAATAAGAGTCCTTATTGACAAAGGGAATATAGTCACAGAAATTAACGGTTACTATATTGATGATTAAATGCATTAACCACTATTGTTTTTTTGTTGTCATAAAAATTGGACAGTGTTTTTGCTACAACTTGAATTATATATATTTTTAAGATAGTGGTTTTATTTTTACCATGTTTCATAACGCCTGAAATGGTTAAAAAGTAGCTATGAATGAAAT